GGGGATTTCCAGGATTTCCCAGTTCCCACCTCAGTCAGGCCTTTCCCAATTTCCCACCTCGGGGATTTCCAGGATTTCCCAGTTCCCACCTCAGTCAGGCCTTTCCCATTTCCCAGCTCAGGGATTTCCCATTTCCCTGGGTGAAACACAGATCCCCAGGTTTCCCCGCTGCGGTCTGGATCCCTCCCGGAGTCCCTCTGGAACGATCCCGGGGGATTTTCCCTGCCCACTCACGCCAGGAGCTTCTTGCGGGCCTTGTCGGCCTTCAGCTTGTGGATGTGCTCCATCAGGATCCGCTTGTTCTTGAACACGTTGCCCTTGACCTTCAGGTACAGGCTGTGGTACCTGCGGGGGAGCACTGGGATGGACTGGGAGGGAACTGGGAGGCACTGGGAGCACTGGCATGGACTGGGAGCACTGGGATGGACTGGGAGGCACTGGGATGGACTGGGAGGCACTGGGATGGACTGGGATGGAACTGGGATGGACTGGGAGCACTGGGGCGGACTGGACTGGAAGCACTGGGATGGACTGGGAGCACTGGGATGGGATGGACTGGGAGCACTGGGCTGGGATACAGGGATGTCCCCGCCCCGCTGGCAGCGTGGGGAGCACAGGGCCGAGGATTCCGGCTCATCCCAGCCCTTGCTGGGAGAACCGGACCTGTCCAGGGACCTGTCTGACCTATACTGGGATGACTGGTCTATACTGGGAAGACTGGTCCTGTGCTGTGCCTAAACCTAACTCACCTTCCTGAGGCTGGGAATGGCCAGGGAGGGCTGGGAATGGCCAGGGAGGGCTGGGAATGGCCAGGGTCACCCAGGGCATGGCCCGGGTCGCCCAGGGCATGGCCGAGGTTGCACAGGGCATGACCAGGGTCACCCAGGGCATGGCCTGGGTCACCCAGGGCATGGCCCGGGTCGCCCAGGGCATGGCCCGGGTCGCCCAGGGCATGGCCCGGGTTGCCCAGGGCATGGCCAGGGTCGCCCAGGGCATGGCCGGGGTCGCCCAGGGCATGGCCCAGGTTGCCCAGGGCATGGCCGGAGTCACCCAGGGCATGGCTGAGGTCACCCAGGGCATGGCCGGAGTCACCCAGGGCATGGCCCGGGTCGCCCAGGGCATGGCCCAGGTTGCCCAGGGCATGGCCCAGGTTGCCCAGGGCAGCAGAGCTCGGCCCCGGGCAGGGCACACTCACATGTGGCGGTCGATCTTCTTGGACTCGCGGTAGCGCCGCAGCAGCCGCCGCAGGATCCGCATGCGCCGCATCCAGGTGACCTTCTCGGGCATGCGGGCGTTGGCCGTGCCCTTCCTCTTGCCTGGAGCGGGAGCGGGCTCAGAGCCAGCCCCGGCTCGGCCGGCTCAGCCCCACACCCGTCCCAGGGCTTCCCACCCTCCCCGCAGCCCAAGGAACCGGCCCCGACACAGCCCAGGGGCTCCGGCCACCGAACCCGGGAGGGACGCCCCAGGGGGACGGGGTGGGGAATGTCCCCGTTCCCAGGGGATGCAGCACTCCATTCCCCATTCCCAGGGGGATGCAGCCCCCAGTCCCCGTTCCCAGGGGATGCAGCACTCCATTCCCCGTTCCCAGGGGAAGCAGCATTCCATTCCCCATTCCCAGGGGGATGCAGCCCCCATTCCCCGTTCCCAGGGGATGCAGCACTCCCTGGTGTGATTTCCCTGTTCCCAAGGGATCCAGCCCTCATTTCTCCCATTTCCAGGAAAATGCAGCACTGCACTCCCCCATTCCCAAGAGCACTAAATTCCCCCATTCCCAGGGGATCCAGCACTCCTTGGCGTGATTCCCCCATTCCCAGGAGGAAGCAGCACTCCATTCCCCATTCCCAGGGGGATGCAGCATTCCCTGATGGGAATTTCCCCATTCCCAGGGGGAAGCAGCCCCCATTCCCCATTCCCAGGGGGAAGCAGCCCCCATTCCCCATTCCCAGGGGGATGCAGCCCCCATTCCCCATTCCCAGGG